CTGTTTAAACCAACTTCGAACTCAAGAAACTTAGATTAAAGAATTTGCGTCGATTCTTTTGGCCAAAGAGGTTCAAAAGGGACACCCAAATACTGCACTGAAAAAGAAATAGGTTTTTTTTTAAGGTTGCCAACAGAAATTGTTTTCTTTGACTCATCTATCAATATTCTAACCTGTCAGCAAGGGAAAATTTTTACTCGTCAACTAAACCACGAGAATATATTTTACACTTTTTAAATCCCTCGCTTATATTTCGTTTTCAGCCAACACCTAAGGTCGCTGATTTCCATCTTCATACACCATAAAAGCGTTCACGCCAGTCGCCCATGGCTACCATTTTCTAAAGTATTGGAATCATTCTATAGGAGAAGAAGTTTGTACATGTTATATTTGTCGAAGAAAAAATTGAGAGGGTTTAAGTTTAGTTACTATAGTATACAGCTATTTCAATTTACGTTGTCGGATCAAAGCCTCAAGCCTACAAGACAAGACCGAAGGGGAATATGGGATCTTAATGAATAATTATCAGCAAAATTAAAAATGCCTCGTCCAGACAGCGAAGATCTCCGATGTCCATGTCCATCTCGCACCGACAACCCCGAAAGCCTAAAATTAATTCTAATCTACCCATACCGCCTTTCGGTCTTGTCCCGTACCCTTTAAGCTTTGATCCGACAACGTAAATTGAAATAGCTGTATACTATTTCTCACTCCAGGCAATGGTGATGAAGAGATACTGCAATGATAGACGGTGTTAGAATAGCAGTAAATAATAGTAATAGGTTACAGGGAATCATGCGTGTGTCATTTTAGTCATTTTGATCCGTAACTGTTAAGTTAAAACTTTTATGTTAAAACTCAGGAGAGTGTTGAAAAAATTACCTGCTATGAATTCCTTCAGCTATATATAGTCTTTTGGAACGTCCAACATCAGGAGTCCAGATTTAAACAGTGGTTAGAACTACTTAGGATTCTCAACTATTTTCGTGATACTCGTGTACGCTTAAAAGCTGCAATATATTTATGTTTTGTAAAAGATAAGCCGCCTAAAGATCGTGCGTCTTCAATGTAAACAAACAAATTTGGTCTGCACCTGAGTAACAATGACTTCAGCGTTATTAAGTTCGTCTGGCCCATGTTTTAGCTTCTTTCAAAGCCATTGCCTGGAGTGAGAAATCGGTCACGGTACAAGAGATGCGAATTTACAAATAAACAGATGATATAGAACTAAAATCGACCAATTCTCCAAGCGCTCTACAAGACTGTCTTTTAAAATTATATGTGAGAAATTTAAAAAGAAAACTGAAATAACTGCAAACATATTT